TACTCTCACAGATAGAGTAGCTTAGGCTATTTCTACCCCCTCCCTCTAATCCTTAAGGTAATTGGTTAAGGTCTTTTATGGGATAATTAGCGGTTAATTATGAAGGGGAGACAATTGGAGCAGTGGAGTGTAGGGTCGTGCTGGAGGCGACCCAATTATCATGATAGCTGCAATAATTATCATGACCCCATTGATTATTACCACTGAATATACTGTGATGTTCCCTAAGTCTCGTTTATAGATGTATAATTATTAAGATAAATGGGATTTGTGTTTGTTATTCCACTTGTCTTGGTCGGCCGAGCGGACAGCACGCTGGACTTGTGATCCTGTGGTCCTGGGTTCGATCCCAGGCGCCGGCGAGAAACAATGGGCAGAGTTTCTTTCACCCTATGCCCCTGTTACCTAGCAGTAAAATAGGTACCTGGGTGTTAGTCAGCTGTCACGGGCTGCTTCCTGGGGGTGGAGGCCTGGTCGAGGACCGGGCCGCGGGGACACTAAAAAGCCCCGAAATCATCTCAAGATAACCTCAAGATAACCTCAAGAAGAAGATACCAATATGTATCAGTCTCCGTGGCGTAGTGGTAAGACACTCGCCTGGCGTTCCGCGAGCGCTTTGTCATGGGTTCGTATCCTGGCCGGGGAAGATTTACTGGGCGCAAATCCTTAACTGTAGCCTCTGTTTAACTCAACAGTAAAATGTGTACTTGGTTGTAACAACGATTCTTCGTGGCGGGGATCCTCGAACCTTTGTTCACGTTAAACATTCCAGTTGGTCCACCGTGTCAATGTCTCTTGGAATCTTATATGTGGTGATCATGTGACTCCATTTTCCAGTGAGGCGAGGTCCAGGTTTTTACTTTAAGGAACACCGAGGAAATAATAGCTTTGATCTTGAAACTCCCGTCATAGTAAGTGAGTCTGATGAGTTAATATTACTGCGTCCAGAGCATTGCTGTTGTAACACCTGTTCCGTAAGACCTGTTCCGTAAGACCTGTTCCGCAAGACCTGTTCCGTAAGACCTGTTCCGTAAGACCTGTTCCGCAAGACACAGTATGGAGCAAGAAACGTCCTGCTGCAGGTGAGGAGAAGAAATCAATAAGTTTGCAGCAGGCACTAGGCTTTGGTCGTGTGTGTGTGTGTGACCCAGCCTACCAGGCCCTGCTGGGTGACGGTGAAGGTGACGGAGACGGTGACAGTGACGGTGACGGAGGTGACGGTGTAGGTGACGGTGACGGTGACAGTGACGGTAGCGGAGGCGACGGTGTAGGTGACGGAGACTATAGAGAGAGACCTCTCACAATGTCTGTGAGAGCTTCGTGACAAGTAATCTTAAGTATTATATACACCTGCCGCTCGGCCATACGTATGTATTTATAATTCATATTATCTTGGCCATATTATAAAGTAATATGGTATACAAGTTGAAGTAATTTATAACATGTTGGCATCAAGATCAACATCGACACGTGTTAAACCAGATTCCAATATACCATTAACACCCCTTCATCAGGCTCTATTATACAGCATCCTATTATACAGCTCTATTATACAGGAGGGGGAGGCCCCCTCCTTCGGGATCTGTTATACCAGCTCCCAATCATCCTGGGATCCGTTATACCAGCACCCAATCATCCCGGGATCCGTCATACCAGCACCCAATCATCCCAGGATCCGTCATACCAGCACCCAATCATCCTGGGATCCGTCATACCAGCACCCAATCATCCTGGGATCCGTCATACCAGCACCCGGTCATCCTGGGATCCGTTATACCAGCACCCAATCATCCTGGGATCCGTCATACCAGCACCCAATCATCCTGGGATCCGTTATACCAGCACCCAATCATCCCGGGATCCGTTATACCAGCACCCAATCATCCTGGGATCCGTTATACCAGCACCCAATCATCCTGGGATCCGTTATACCAGCACCCAATCATCCTGGGATCCGTCATACCAGCACCCAATCATCCTGGGATCCGTTATACCAGCACCCAATCATCCTGGGATCCGTTATACCAGCACCCAATCATCCCGGGATCCGTCAAACCAGCACCCAATCATCCCAGTATACCATTACCACCGTAAGACCACCCATGCCACCCAACGCCCCAATAGACAACACACACACATTGGTATTCCGTCAACTCTTTAATCTGGAGTCGAGGGTAAAAGGGCGAGGGGGACCCTCGACCTTGTTGACCGGGGACATGGAGATCAAAGTTGTATGCAGGCGTTTGAGTGAAGCCTAGTGGGGTACACTTCCTTGTGGCGCTCGGCTCCGACAGCGCCAAACGCCGTCTCTCACTCTCCTCTTGTTTCTTCATCATATCGTCCCTGCACGCAAGCAGCTGTGAGATAATAATAATAATAGTAATTCGTCAATTGGGTAAAGGTGCATGCATACAAAATGAGTTACAATTAGGATGCTGGATTTATAGATAGAGCTAGAATATACTTTATAGAGTATATATACTATGTTTAAAGCCACTAATATACACACTGTTTCCTGCAAACACTGTGGGAGTGGAAGAGTGTGTGTGTGTGTGTGTGTGCGTGGGGGGGGGGAGAGACATAGTGTGTGAACTGTCACCTGTATTACTTATAGGCGTCACGATCTTGCCTCTAAATAATATATATATAACATATATATTATTATATATTACTTATTACTTGCCTCTCTCTCCTCTCTCTCTCTCTCTCTCTCTCTCTCTCTCTCTCTCTCTCTCTCTCTCTCTCTCTCTCTCTCTCTCTCTCTCTCTCTCTCTCTCTCTCTCTCTCTCTCTCTCTCTCTCTCTCTCTCTCTCTCTCTCTCTCTCTCTCTCTCTCTCTCTCTCTCTCTCTCTCTATATATATATATATATATATATATATATATATATATATATATATATATATATATATATATATATATATATATATATATATATATATATATATATATATATGTTATATATAAAATATATATATAACATATATATAACACATATATATAACACATATATTATATGTTAAAATTAAATATATATGAGGATGCGTTTCGCAAGATCACTCCTTACATTCTCAAAAAAAAGTTTACGATTGATTTAATAGGGATTAAGCAACCCAAAAGGTGGTACGGGCATGAATAGCCCGTAAAAGTTTATCATGTTGTTGTTTAAGATTCAGCTTCTCGGAACAAAAAGTTCCAAGTAGCACGGGCTATGGTGAGCCCGTAGTGGACTTACTTGGCACAGGAGCGGGGCTGTAACTTAAAAAAAAAAAGTTTACTATGTTTAGCACTGGCTTATATTCTCTTTGGGTGAGGTGGTAAAGAATAAGTGGATGAATGGCACAACATGGGGGATGTTGCTAGGGTATACAATGTATCAACTTATGTTCTTGTGGTTCCTGGTGTGCCTAAGGCAGGGTTATGGGATCCTGTCTCTGCGTTGGCTCGGGGTCTACACAAAGTTGGACTCCACAGAGCATCTACTGGACGGTATGTATTGCCCTAGGCTGCCAGAATGGTCGCCCGTAAGAATGGTCGCTCGTGAGAATGGTCGCTCGTGAGAATGGTCGCTGGTGCAAATGGTCGCTCGTGAGAATGGTCGCTGGTGCAAATGGTCGCTCGTGAGAATGGTCGCTCGTGAGAAAGGTCGCTCGTGCAATTGGTCGCTCATGAGAATGGTCGCCTGCATCAATTACTGTAGCCTCGCTCCAAACATGTTTACTAAATATTTCAATCCATTTTAAACTAGAACCGGGTATACATCTGCATTGTTTACAATTGTAAACCCCAGAGATGCGTCACGTCAATCTACTGGGTGACCAGCAGTAGAGTATCCCACTCCTCCGGGGCCGTGGGTGAGGGCGCGACCTCTGGCATGGCGCCCAAACTCTCACCTCACACCCTGACACTCATTTTCCAATAGACTGAACACCATCCCGAAATACTTTGCCTCACTGGTGAGGCATTAATAGCCTAGACATAGACCTTCGGAACCCTCTTAAAAATAATATTCAAATACTCGCCAGTTGACAAGAACCCTCTCCATTGTTGCGTCTCTTCACCAAAAACTTTAAAAAAAAGAGTTCTTGGTAATGATTTAACTTTTGTGGTGTCTGTTGTTTGAATGAAGATTCTCGGGTTATAATATAAATCTCCATTGAACAGGCATTGAGGGATGATGAGACCCGGTGGGAGGCGGTTGTGTGTAGAGTCACAACTCTTCCTTCACCACAAGGCTTGGTGGTGGTGGGTCATTATTGACAGCCACGACGCCCTCACATCCACAACTTCCCTGACGTATTGGTATGACTATACAAATAAACGCTGGGGGCGTGAGACGGGAAGAGGGTGAGACGGGGAGAGGAAGGGGGCGAGACGGGGGAGGGGGGGGGGGAGAGGATGAGACAGGGATGGAGGGGAGAAACTAGCCGGATAGATAGAGGACGGGAGGAAAGGATTCGTATTTGTATGAGTGTCATAATATTGTGGGTGACGTAAGACATGCCGGCGAAGAAGCCATTCGTGCACACGCACACATAAATCACATTAACGTGATGTATCGACGAGAAAAGGAGTAGGAATCATGAGGGGGGGGGGGGGCGGGATTCGAGCCTGTGCTCTGCCTACTCCCAAGTACCCAGCCATATCTCTTAAGCCGTTGCTTGACTTCCCTCTGCATGCCAGCAACATGTTACTGTTGTCGGTTTTAATAGTGTTATTGTTGATGGTGTTAATGATCGTTATCACAGGTGTTCTTATCACTATTATTACCCATCATGGTGACGACGAGGGACACGAGTGCAGGTAGAGTGCCTGCACTGGTGTATAGTGCAGGGGACGTCTTTCCCGCCATATAGTTCCTACACCTGCATGTTGTATGCACTCTATACCCCTCTTCTATACGGTATTATAGTGGCCTTCCATCTCCTCACACTTCTATATCTCTATGCTCACTATATCGCTGCACGAAATATAATAGTGACGTTGACCTCTCCCTCTACAGTGGTAAGCGGGCGTGGGCGGGATATGAGCGTCCGTGGGCGTCCCTCCGGTCTCTCGTCGCTCTGCTCCCAGAGTTCAGTGAGCGGCATGGGCTGTGGTGTGGGCGGCCCCGCGGGCGCCCACCTGCTGGGGTCCACCTGCAGCTCCAGCAGCGCATCGCGGGCGGGGTCAGCGGGGTCCCTGGTGGGTGTGGGCGTGCCTTCCCTAGAGGGCGAGGTGGGGTGTCCTGACTGTGCCGCCCTCTACCCCATCACTGACGACGCTCTCCTCCACAACCTTCACTCCAGATACAAGAGAGACCAGATCTACGTGAGTCCACCAACATACTTCGGTCTACCTCACGTTTTCTCACGTTATTAAATCATCTCCCGTTTTTTTCTTTATTTTATTGTATTTATCCATAATTTGCCATTATTGTATTAGCATATATGTTTTCCTTTCTACAGTTTCGTCTCTTTAATCCATTTTCTTTTTGTGCCGTGATCTCTGTTGACTAGGCTGTCTTAACTATAATTAATAATTTATAATAACCATTGCTTAACATTTTCACTCTTCCGTATAAACATTTAGTCTGCATTTCGTGCCCTTCTGCTTACAAATAATTATCCCCATTCATTGATAATAATTATTATTTTCAAACAGGTAAGGTCTTCAGAGCGTGTATATGCGGGGACGGGGTCACTTAAACATGGTTTTGACGTGACGACTTATGATAGTTGGGAGTATTTTCTTCTTGATTTGCTCCTTAATCTGTGAAAAACTTGGGAGGTATTTGAACCTGTACAACAGGTAGAGCAGTGGCAGTTTTTGCTAGTGAGTCTGTCTCTTCATTCCCATCTACGACAATGTGACTTGGTATCCAATTTAGGGTGATTGACCTAGATCACCCTAGATTGATCGAGGTCAATCACCTAGAAGCCTAGATTGTGTGCTTCTTTTTCTATATGTTGGGTTTCTGTAATCAGTTGTATATATACTCTGTGCTGGCTGGATAACAATGCCTGGAGCGAAGATTTTGAGTCGGTCTGAATGATATCATGTAAATTATTCTCAATTGTATAATTTATGGCCTCCTTCAGGGCATATAATTCTGTTTGCAATGTTGAGCACCCACTATTCATGCTCCAGTAAGCTTCATTGGTTGTTAGTGTAAACTGCTGCCCCAGCAGAACCTCTTTCTTGATCAACTGATCCGTCTGTGAAGATGTGAGTCGTTGTCGGTCTTGAGATGGTTTACATTTGTTGTTCTATGACTGCTTTGAGCCTCTGCGAGTCACATGCTGATTTGTTTTAACTGGTAATCCTTCAATGATTATCTTTAGACTCGATTCTTCCCATGGAGGAGGCTGCCGAAAGTGTTGATATAATCTATCTTTCCCCTTTGTTTTTAATGGTCCATTACAAGTCCACTTTTCTCTATAATCTTGACCAGATTATCCGTCCATGTACTTGTTCTATAACGTTACAATTGATTGATGAAGATTAAGCCAACCAAAAGGTGGCACGGGCATGAATAGCCCATAAGTGGTGGCTCTTTTGAGCCATTACCAGTATCAAGAGCTGATACTGGAGATCTGTGGCGTTACAATTTTAGAGCATCCGAATATACAATCGGGGAGTAAGGCTTCAACTCACTATGAGGGGGCAATAGGCCTCCCATAGTGAGGTGATAATCTCCATTTGGTGACAATCTCCAAGCAAATCTCCTTACAAATCTCCAATATTGTCATGATGGCTGAGGCAGTATATTGGATGTTTCGTCGTGTTGTGGACGCTGGCGGCGTGTAGCCTAGTCCCCCAGCTGACTGGTGATAGTTGGCTGGGTTCCTTAGATGTGTAATGTCTCGCACATGTCCCAGCCTTCCTTGTATCACTCCATTTATTGTAGTGTTGCTTTTCGGGATGTCTCTGGTTGTGTGTAGAGACTGTATGTTGCTTCATGTAGGATATATATATATATATATATATATATATATATATATATATATATATATATATAATATATATATATATATATATATATATATATGTTGATGTTGTCCTTCATTTATGATAACCATAGATAGCGAGTGAACGTATTGCAGTATGGGAGTTTTCCCGCTTAACATTGTGGTTACAATCGTACGTTATTGTGATTTCTCTCTGTGTTATCTTGATAATATTATCATTATTCTTCCTTTAATATTATTTTTTCATTTATTGTTAAACATTTTGTCGAAATTTATCCACTTGCAAGTCATATATCGCCAAGTTTGTTCTCAAATTACTCGAGGAACATTTTTTATTCCCCTCGTTAAGTGGAGTGTTTATGACCGCCATATTTCACTCCAATTTTATGCTTGAATGGTCGTTTACGGTCCATGAGAGACGGGCGCAGGATCGCCAGACTAACGGGACAAGCAGAGGATATATATATATATATATATATATATATATATATATATATATATATATATATATATATATATATATATATATATATATATATGAAACAGGAATTTCCTTAATATATATATATAGGAAAGGTTGTTGGCGTTCTTTCCGTGGTCTGACACTCACTTAATCCTCTGCCACACATATATATATATATATATATATATATATATAATATATATATGATATATATATATCTATATATATATATATATATATATATATATAATATTGGTACAAACCGTCGACTTGTCGACTTTTTGACAACAGAGAATAGTGAACATATTTTTGTATTGCCATCGACAGTAATGATTGGTACTGTCATTTCTGGATGACAGGTGGTTCTGTGTATGTCTGGCTCACCTCCTGGTGCGATGCGCTCTGTGGTCTCTGTCTGACTGTGTTGTGTGTGTGTGTGTGTGTGTGTGTGTGTGTGTGTGTGTGTGTGTGTGTGTGTGTGTGTGTGTGTGTGTGTGTGTGTGTTTAAAATCCGTACTTTCGACAGCCAATACTGCCATTGACTCTATATAAACCCGTACCGTACACGTACCCTGACCGTACCTAATCCAAGCAAAGAGGCGTGCCACAAGATTTCTTGGAAGACTATTACTTGCTTGCGTGAGGATTTGTCTCCTCAGAAACCCCAACACACACACACACACACACCTGTTATAATGAGTGTTGAACTGGTCTAATAATACAGCTTGTATTAACTGGTCTAATAATACACCATGAAAGGAAGAAATATACCAGTGAGGATGAAAGATATAACATAGAATCTTAGCCTGAGGATCGTCATGTGAGTATGCTGGCATCATGTGTGTATGCTGCCATCATGTGAGTATGCTGCCGTCATGAGTATGCTGCCATTAACCTCGAGCCACCAGTTTAGAAACACGAATGAGAAAGCATAGATGTTTGCTGCAAGTCAGGTCTCAAAAACTGAGCAGAAATGGCTGTGGGAATATACCACTTACAATAACATACAGTGGACACTGTAGTGACCACTGACACACACACACCTGTAGTGATGATGAGTTACAAGAGCCTCTACCCTTTACAGTGGCTGGTGTGTGAAGCCATATATATATATATATATATATATATATATATATATATATATATATATATATATATATATATATATATATATATATATATATATATTGAATGAACCTGCAATCCTCTCTGTTAACAGAGTTGTTGTTGTTTAAGATTCGCTACTTGGAACAAAAAGTTCCAAGCAGCACGGGCTATGGTGAGCCCGTATAGTTCCTATCTCTATGTTGACAGAGGCTGGGTCAACGGTGCCGTTAACCAGTCTTCAACACCCGCACACACACACATGTTATATTAACATATATTAATACAAATGAGTAAATGGTGTCAACACGTGTGAAATATTTATAGTAACTAATGATCTAAGTTCATGTCGTATGGTGGGTTTAGACAATGTAAACAAAAATGCCTAATTTATTTTCTATGGTTTCTAGGCCTCACTCAGGAGGCATTTAGGCCTGATCAACTGGACTGTTGCCGTACACACACACAAGCAGTGTTATGGCACGATATCCAAACCCAGAGGTGTAGATATCCTGCCATAACATTGTGTATATATATCCGCTGCTCGGTCTGTGTGTATACACTTAAGATGGAATGTACACTTTGGACGATATTCAAGACAGAAGTATACTTGTTGCTTGGTATCCTTGAGACCCCTCCGAGGTTCATAGGCTTAAAGACGACCCCCCCCCCTCCCCCTTCCCTCCACACCCCCCTAAAAAAGGGCAGGATATTGAAATGATAATATAGCGGAGGTAGACTCCATACACAGGTTGAAATGTAGATATGATAGAACCCAAAAGGCTCAGGAAACTGTACATACACCAGTTGACTGATTGATTGAACGAGAGGCGGGTCCAAAGAGCCGAAGCTTAACCCCCCCCCCCACCCCCGCAAGTACAACTAGGTGAGTACCTATACATTGGAAACAATGCCCCAAACTGGTATTTCTCTCTTAGCTGTATAGACAACTAAATTGTCAAATTACCAAAAAAAAAAAATAGAAGTGTCCGGAAGTGTAGCGATGTAACGGTTCTAGTACAATAAAGGAGACGTGGCACCTGCGCTCCATCTTAAAGATGACGTGTCAAGAGCAATAAATGTTTTAAAGATGATGTGGCAACGCTGTTGTGGACCACCCTAGAGACGGGGGGGGGGGGGGCAACACTGCCGTTCTGGAGGTTTGCCAACACTGTCACCCTGGAGATGTGGCAACACTGCAAAAAAAATCCAAATCCGTCAAGAAAATAAATTCATAATACGTCAACAACAAAAAAAATCAAAATCTACCAGCAAAAAAAAAAATAAATAAATAAAAATCCGCCAAAAGAGCAAAAAAATCAGCCCCCCCCCACCAAAAAAAATCAAAATCCACCAAAAAAAATATTCTAAATCCCCGAACCAAAAAAAAAAAATCCAAAATGTATTTGAACTCAGAGAAAAGTGAAGGTGGTGAAAGGGAAGATTATTAATATCTTTATTGACAAAAATGAATTGACAATTTTGTCTAATCTGATGAATTCAATTAAGTCTTATTATTAGTACTAGTAGGCATCCTTCAGTCTCCGAAGACTATGGAGTTACGCCCTGACAGGGCGCAAAGCCTGAGTAGGTAGATATGATGGAGAAGCAGTTACCCATGCAGCAGGTCCCCCCTCCTCTCCACGTTGCTGAAATTATCCAATAGAAAGGCTAAGTCTTATTAGAGTGAGGATAATGGTGGTATTCACTGCCACGCAGATCAGAGGGTCATACACAAGACAATAGGTCTAAACTGTGAAACTCTCACACCTGAAAAGATGGTACTCCGGCGTCCATATTTCACTGTCATAGTTGTGTTTGAGTTTGTGAGTTTGAGTTAGGTCGACAAACATTTGTCTCATTTAGGACGCAAAAGTCCTCTCCAGCGGACTTTGATTTGCGCCGTGACATAAGCGGACATAACTGGTCGTTCTCTCGCGGAGTTCAAGAGAGAGAACTTGACAAACACCTTCGGAGGAACAGATCCACAAGGGCCGTGACGAGGATTCGAACCTGCGTCCGAGAGCATCCTAGACTTCGGAGGAACCTTCGTCAACTAGGCTGTGGTTCATACGTCAGATAGCAACCGCGTCCAACAGCCTCGTTTGATCAGACCATGAACCAGGACGCCTGGTGAACCAGGAGACCGGGCCGCGGGGGACGTTGACCCCGCGGAAACAAGGTAGGTGGGGGGAGGGGGGTTGATGACGGGTGTGTGGTGGGGACTAAAGGACCTTCTCCCCGCAGACATACGTGGGGACGGGTCTGGTGTCCGTCAACCCCTACAGAAGACTGGCGCTCTACACCCCTGAGGTTATCCACGCCTACCACACCACCTGTGTATTCCACCTGCCTCCACACATGTGAGTATTGCCTCCTCCAGCCCCCCACACATGTGAATATTGCCCCTCCTGCCCTCACACACGTGCCATCTGCTGACACACATGGAGGACCTGAACAATGTGAGGTCTTGAGGCCTCACTTTATGACAACCATTCAGCTTTGAGGGCCACTGGACTGAGCAGTCTTGAATGGCGGCTCTTCCCTGTCTCTCTTCCCGTGTTTATCTGTCGTAATGTCTCTCTTGATCTGTCTGTCTGTCTCTCTCTCTCTTTCTCTCTCTCTCTCTCTCTCTCTCT